CTACCTCTACCTCTACCTCTACCTCTACCTCTACCTCAATCTCTATCTATATCTCAACCTCTACCACCTCTAGCTCAACCATCGCCGCCACTTCATTTCATGCCCACACCTAAGCAAATTCAAACTAAAGTATTTATACCATTGTACTACTAAAGTATTATACCATTTGTGGAGACTTCCACGCCTTATTACGCCGTTACATAGACTATACTCTGAATACCCACTTTCAATCGGTTCAGGATATACAACAAATAAACAAGATTATATTCTACTACCAGTAATAGAATCATTCTTTTTCTAACGTAAATACGCTTCTATGTATCCTCTGCACACATAGACATTATTTTAGTTTTATGTGTTTGGCTAAACCCTTTATTCTTTGACAAATGTATTACAACCTTGTTGTTGTTTTCGTTGTTGTTATTATTATTATTGTAGGAGTTGTTGTTGTTTTTGTCGCTTGTGTTTTCGGCGCTTACGCATGCATTTACAGTAAATTATACGGAATTGTCACTCATGTGCGACGAAGGTCACTGAATTTCTCTAGACACAAGCTTTGAGGACTCATGCACAATATGTATATATGTATATGTATGTCGATTTCAATTATATTAATTCTCGTTCTATTTCTTTTTCAGCTTCATAGAAGTCAGCTCCATCTGTATAGTTCTACTCAATCTAACACACAGTTCAAAAAATTACTTCAATGCCTAATTAAATATACGCATAGATATAAATATATTTGTGAATTATCAGTGCGTGCTCCAGAGATCATGTTTAAACATTTGTTCTCTGCAAAAAATTATCGAAAGCAAAATTTACAAATGAAAAAGTGATGTGCGGAGTGTGAAGTGTAAAGTTAAAAAAGTATTATGGAATGATAAGTCTTACATTGTGCTTAAATGAAAAGTTGGCATTGGATTGGAACGTAGTATAAATGACCTTGAAATGATCGCAAGCTCGAGTCGAATGAAAAACTAGGGTAAGTTTATAATAGAATTTGTATATTAAAGTTCAATGAATTTCTATAAAGTAGTTATGGTTTGTTCCAATCAGTTCAATTGAAGAGAGGGAAAAATTACAAATTAAAATGTTTTAAATACCCTCCATATAAATAATATTAAATATTTAGATACTATTTAAATAATACACGTTTGTAGGTCTGTCTTTGCTATTTACATAATAAACTTAAATGTCGTAATAGAACCCTAGACGTATTCGTCCTTTAACTAATACTAGTATAATGTAGCATCTCACTATATAATAACAGATAAAAATATTTGATCAAGCCTCGGCGTATCGAATTCTAGTTCTAAAATTTTAAATAGTACTAATATATGTATCATTTATTGGAACATACCTCCTAGGCTCATTCAACTGTAAAGTAAATCGATAGTATTTAGACATATACTCTAACCGTAGATGATTATCACGTATGCTCTATTGTTAATCTAGAATTCTGTTGGACCCCGTAGTTTTTAAAGTTTAATATATAAAATTTTGGTAGCTAAAATTTGGCAATAGAAACACAATCGGATTTGTTGCCAAAACATGTCGCAATTGTGCATCATTTATTTTGAGCGCTGTCTAAGGGGCGTATACGTAATGCATTCGCACGAAGCTGCTAACAGCGAGTATCTCTATTTACCAAACATCAATATTTAATGTCACGCAAATTGTCAAAATGTTGACACAAATACAGCTGAAAATGTCCAAGGTAAGGCAAACAAAAAGTTGCCAACAGAAATCATAGACAGTCAACAGTTCCCCAATCGTATGGGTATATGTGTGTGTGAGCATGTGTGCGTGCATGTGTGTCGGTTTGATGTTTACCAGGCCATTCACGCTTCAGCCTGCTTGTGTGTGTCTTTGTCCTCTCGGTCCTCCCTGCCTGTGCGTCCTGCCAAAGGCACACACGATTTCAAACATGTGGGGGTAATTGTTTTATGGTCCTCGCGGGACAAACAAAAACAAATCTAAAATCATTATTTTTTAGATTTATGAGTTTAAGTTTGATTTAATTTTTGCCCGACTCTTAAGTGTCCTTGCTATAGAACTAACATGAAAAGATTTTAGTTTTGATTCACAGCGTAAGACGCGATAAATTTGCAGAATATTTTGTTGTTTCTTGCAATTAACACGTTACAAGGGGTAGTCAGTCCCGGTTTATATAATAACGGTTTATGAGCACATTTCGTCAGGTTTATTTTGTAGTTTGTTGTATAAGAACATATTTTAAAACTGTTTCTTGACATAAACTGGTACGATTTATAATACAGGTTTTTAGACTAATTGAATTCCGATAATTGCATAGATAATTCCGATAATTGCATAACCATACGGTTAATACCAGAAGATGAAGAACTAATATGCTTTATTAACACATTTTCCTCTCCCCCTTTGGAAATAAAATTCATTGTAGTCCCATATACGCGCATACAAATAGGTTCACATCAGTAGTTTCTTTCTAACTCTCTCTTCGTCAGTAATATACTGTACTCACGGAGTGCTGTCATTCTTTTAGTTAGGCTGTTTTCGCTGGGGCATTGGGATCGTA